ATATATATGTATATATATATATATATTATGTCTAATTTTTATTAACTTGATTGTTGTTGCTTTTGTAAAATGTGTGAGCGGTTGGCAAAACGGTTTGCGGTTCCAGCTCTCAAGCTTGAGGTAGTTCAAACTTCTTGCTTTGCATAACTTGTGTCCTTGGACAATAATATTTTACCCAAGTTTGTCTCTCTCACCTAGCGTTGAAATATGGAGGAGAGCCGTGTAACCCAATCGGCTAAATAATGGTAGCCACATAGTATTCTATCATTATTGTTTGTGGGCCTGCTGTCGTCAAATCTCTATATTAGTAGAATTTCCTGCTTTTTATATAGTAACATGGTATTAAATCTTTAGTACTCATCAGTTAAGATGAATCATTTTTTGATCAACTTGTCTGCAAACTATCAAAAACCTGCACAATGTGTATTGTTAAAGTGTCCTTCATGGTACAAAACTTGGATGTGCTGGTTTTTAGGAAAGAGCTGTTCCTTTGTGTGGTTTTAATACTGTATTGATTTCACAGTATAATACTATACTATGATAGCCTTTGTGGCAATTGACTGCTGCGTATTAAACTGTGCATTGAGGTTTTGTTTGTTTTTTTCATGGGTGCATTTATGTATTTTACTCTACATTCCATAACATGTAATATAATCATATGTATTTTTAAAATTTTTCTTTTGCTATTTTAACAATCAATTATTTCCAAATGCTCAGATATTGGCTTTTCGGCGGATCATAATTTACTTTCAAATCATCCATTGGAACAATCAAATTGCCTCATGATACAATCAACATTAAAGCTAAATATTGCAAAAAAAAATGTCTGTGTCTCGTGCGCTGCTTTACCTTACCCCAGATGATCATTAGAGCGAGCCAATGTGGATGAAGTGCCTTGCCCATCGACACAAACACAATAAATCTGAATAGGTACCAACAGGAGACGCACTGGGCCATATGCATCAGTGTGTGTCGATCGAGACATCCCCCACCCCCCACAAATATGTTTGTAAGGCTGAATAGTAATCACTGTGCCAACCGCTCTCCATTTATAGGGCTACGTAATTCTAGTGTTCCTTTTATGCCATCTTCATAAATTGGTCTCCTCACCAAAAGAGGATTCAGAAAGGTGAAGGAGGGGTTAGCTGACATATTGACTTCCTAGAAAACTTTATGCTAATTTCCCGCTATCTAGGTGCCAAATTACTGTATGTACCTCAGCCATGGTGAGACTGAGTTAATCTGGACCCTCAGTAAAGCTGGTTTTCCACTACTAAAAGGCGAATTTATTCACGCGAAATGAAAGTGTCGGTTCATGCGCATGCGTATTCACATTTCTATCGGAGTGAGCAAAGCGAAAAAATGCGCAACCAATCAGAGCTCAGGAAGTGAACAGACGCTCTGATTCGTGCGAATAAATTTTCCTAGAGGAAAACTGGCTTAAATTTCTGTCTTTGTAATTCCTGGATCTGCCACTGACAACGTCAAACATTGTGGCCGTGCAGCGTGTAAGAACTCTGTCCTGGCATACCTTCATAGTCCTAGTAACCAGTATGTCTGCTCGGGTTAAGAGCTATTGAGGTAACTGTATAATCATGGAGGTATAAAAAAATATGCATACCTCCATGCTACAGTATAATATATCACATCCCCTATGAAGCTGAGAGTATCCATTTGATACTATGATCAGTGTTAATAAGGAAATGTGCATCGAATGCTTGACATTGCATATGGTGAATCTATATAATAATTCAGTGCATCAATGTATTTTGCTCAAGAAAAGTCTAATAACATTATTATAAACATCCCTCTGTGTAAAGTAGACTCTCCCAATCTATTGAAAACCATTCTTTAACCTGTTTAATCTCGTTTCCACATTTCCATTAATTGCATAATTATGACATATTCTGTATTCAATGCATGTCAGGTGTTGGATCGCTTCAGGTCCATGAAGCATATGGATATAATAATTACTGTACTAACAATACAGTATTACACGTCAGTCGACAGTCCAGTGGTACAGTAACTATCCCAGGGAAGCCAGTCAATGTAGATCTGAGTACCCATGTGTAGGGCCCTAAACAAGTTTTGGAATGCAGAGAAAATTCACTCCTTTTCATGTAATATATTTACAATCTTAATACCCATTAAAGCCCCATTGCTGGAAAACCTCATAACACTCTGGCCTCTACCCTTAAATAACAGACAACACACATTATTCCTAGAATATGTATAGGCTAGGCCCATGCCTAAACATATGGTAACAAATAAAGACGCTGTGTGACACACATAGCGACACACACCCAAATGCGTTCTTAATTTCCTCAAATATGATGCCCTATTTACAAATTTGACCATTTTTCAGACCCTAAAAAACCTGTTCAGAGCAAAACAACCCTTTTTACGTAATTTTGGTCACATACATGCGTCCCCGAGGTCAAGGTGGGTGCCCCCACCCCCAGGGTAACTATGTATTTTTGTGAAGCAGAATAAATAAGTTTATAGCCTTCCAACAGAAGTCATAGAAACATTCGTGTTCTAGATGCAAAAGAACCCTACAGTTTTCAAGTTCCAGTTATTTGAAATAACCACATTTGGGCGCGTTGGCTCATTTTTATTTCCTGTACACCTTCTAGTTTCCCAAGCATTGTTTTGTGTTTTTATGTGTATTTAAAATTCATAGTTAAAGTCATTAATTTCATCTTTATCTTAAACTTATATGCCATTCATTCAAGGCCACTGTTGTTAGTCTGACAGTTCGCCCTTTGTTGCACATACACACAAAATAAATGGTACAATTGTTCAAATTAAGGGCCAAATTTCCTAATTCAGACCATATATTTTAAAATTACCTACATACAACATGTGTCTCTTTAATAGCCGCTCTTGTGTCTTATAGGATGAGTTGAATATGCAACACCAAGGTGATTCGTTTTATAGATGCATTTCCATAATTGACTACTTAATTCACCTCGATGCAAATGACATTATTAAAGTACTATAAAGTAACAAATAAATTTAGAAAAATGGCAGGCCTATTGTAGCAGCACTGTAGTTTTCAAATATTAATTTATTAATTCCAAATGTACTATAAAATTTACTGATATAGAAAACACCTTTAAATCTTATAGTGTAGGATATTATTCAATTTAGACCTACTGTACTAGCATTATTCCTGTTGGCCTAAATAGGTCTTAATACATTCTGACAAACAAATATCGAGATAATTTTTGCTAAATTCTATCATTCTATGCACATTCCGTTGCTTGGTTTACTAAAAAACAATCAATATCCATAAATGACGTTGCTTAGGATTGGCGGGGGTGGGCGGGGCAAGTCTAAAGCTAATTTCATGGCCCTCCACTCACCTTTCTTAACCTACTTTTCCATCCTTAAAATCCACTCTTTTTATTTAGATTCACTAATGTTATCACCTACCTACCCTTAAAATATCTATCAACTACCTTTAGTTTTCTACAGCTACAACCCTGGTGTTGTTTATATAGTATACATCTAGTGGAGCTACTTTTTCCATTCTTTGCATCCTTCCCTCAACACACTTAGTGCGTTTACTGTACATGTACCCCCTTCCACACTTCACCCTCCTATCCAAGCTTCTCTGCTGATTTTGCCTACTTAGTCTTACTCTTATACACATCTAGATGTGTAAAAGAGACAGCCCATGTGTAGGGCCCTAAACAAGTTTTGGAATGCAGAGAAAATTCACTCCTTTTCATGTAATATATTTACAATCTTAATACCCATTAAAGCCCCATTGCTGGAAAACCTCATAACACTCTGGCCTCTACCGAACAAGACCCACAAGCGTTGGAGGTAAGTGTTAAGGGCTTGTCACATGTTCTGTGACATTTGGTGCCTGTTTTTACAAATAGAAAGACCAAAAGTAATTTTTAGCGGGATGCTTACTGAATCTTTGTACTGTATTAATCCAAATAGCTTTTTTAGTGTGAGCTGTGCGCTTGGTTGGTAAGTAAGGCTTTTGCCTCATGTGATTATGGACCCAGGTAATTCATTATTACCTGCAATTAAACATAGCATGCTTTTCATCAATTACCAATATGTATTTTTTATGAATTGTCTCTATTATCATAATGATACTGTACTTTTGCAAATTATCATTGAATAAATTATGTACTTTTCCGTAAATTAAAAATATGAAATATCATTATTTTAATTCTAAGCATCTTCTGCTTTTATTGTGATGGGATTTTGCATTGTTTTCTCAAAAGTTGTTTCAAGATAAGGAGGACACGAACAATGCATTTGTTATGCTCAATTTCAAAAGAAATAAAATGTCATCAGGTTGCCTACAATACCAAATTAGTAATAAAAATAGAAGTGAACTTGAAAGAAATTGTACATGGTAGCTAGTTGTTAAACAACAATAGTATCCATTTTCATTGATCTAACGTAGTCCATTTGACCTGCAATAAAAAGAGTTGTGGCCTTCTGATATAATTGTAGGTAAAATGTGATGGAAATAAATGAATATGCGTAAGTCGCTGATTCTATGAAGAACGCAATGCGACAACGCGTGCACAACGGAGACGGCGTCGCGTGGTCTAGCACTTACAGTGAGCGGAGTTGGATTTGTCGTGCAACAGTCGTACGACGGAGTGACTGCCCGGCTAATTTATTTAGAGCATCTTGCGTATGTTTATTGTGTGAAGGGATTGCCACCTATCAAATAGGACAGAGATAAGGTTGCTGTTGCTAATCCTTGGCTATATGCCTAAAGGAGTAAATTAAAATAAATTCAAAGTTTAAGTCAATATTTGCACTGTACAACATCATCAGACATACTACATTTGGCAAGTCATTTACTAATGGTTAGGTGTCAAAGTAAAATAGATTTATTAGATAATTTAAACAATTTTCTTTTTAGCATGTTTTTATCAATAAAATACAAAATATAATGATTATCAATAAATTAAAACTGTCAGAATATTTTGCATAATTACCAAAATTTATAAAAGAAATTATTAACTAACACACAAATAAAGAAAATGCTGGTGTGACAATCTATCTCCATTCCGTTGCATTCCCAGCCTCTACCTACAGTAGATAACATAAACAACAGAATCTCGTCACAGTCGACCAGCTTCTCAAATGTGACCTCCTCCCCTATATTCAGTTCAAATACTATAGGTGTATTTATTAATTTAATGTTTCAGCTGTATCACAAGATAAAGAATAAGGAGTTGCCTGCTTTATCTAAGGAAGATCTGGAATATGGCACGGAGAATGCTGTGGTAGAGTTCTCAGCAACTTCCTACTCCGTTATGGAAAATGCTGGACGAGTGAAAGTAGGAATGGTTCGACGTGGAAACACCAAAAACCAAGTTATGTTCAAGTAAGTTTGTTAATTAGATTGCTGTGTTGGTAGTGGTGCTATAAGTTTGAATTATAAGTCACATGGTAGATCTGTAGTTCTTATGAAGTAGACAAAAGCAAAACAGTTATATTGTAAAAAAAAGTTTTATTTGCAGTAATGATATTATTTTGATGTAAGTTTGCATCAGGAAAATATCATAGGAGTGATATTTTGCCTTACCTGACATGTTATCGTACCGAATACTCAGTACTTCTCCAAATACTTGTGAAAAATATTTGCAAGTGATTCAGATGGGAATCGAAACCTCCAGAACTAGGCTGGCGCCGTAACCACAAGACTACCGAGCTTGCGCTTAGTGACTAGTGCTGAATCGGATCCCCAATAGCATGAGGTACTGCAAATGCTATTTCGATGTCAGCTTGTGTCAGAAAAATATCATAGGAGTGATGTTTTGCCCTACCTGACGTATTATCTTACCGAATACTCAGTACATCCCCAAATACTTGTTGTTCCACAAATGTTCATGGTTTTTTTAAGTTTATGCTGTCATTTAGAGGACCATGGCAACATCCAACGAGTGAAAGGAAATCGCAATGTTAGAACTATTGGCTGGCTACTATTGTAGCTAAAATTTATCATCATTCATAAAAAAAAATACAAGTAGAAAATATAACTGCAAAAATTGTAGTACATCCTTTAAAATTGCACCTAAAATATCTTAGTTGTAAAATAGGAAATGTTAGATTTTGGCTCAGTATTTTAACAGAATTATAATTTAGATCAACAGTGAATTTCCAATTGCCTGCACTATTTATAAATTTTCACAACTGATACAAAAAAAACAACTCCCTTTGACTATTCACAAAATGAGGGTTGAATCACTGATGTAATACCAGCATCTGTTTTTGTGATAAAAAATATATTTAAATACACATAGAGGTTTGTGATAGAGTTTAATTACATAGGAATATATGATTTACAGTCCTATAAATCTTCTTGTTTGAATGCTGGCCACATTTGATTCAAGATTCATGGGAAAATACAATTATTTGTATTTTGTAAAAACAAAACCATAATATGTTGACTTTAAGCATAAGTTAATAAATAAACTTGTATCAAAAACCAGAGGATCCACTAATTAGTCTTAAATAAAACAAAAAGACAGAAACTCAGTAAAGCGAGACAATGACCATAAGCTATATCTTGCCACACTCAACTGATGATTACATTTTTATTTGTTTATTGTCACACACACAATGCTATCCAGAATTTGTGCAAATCAACGTAGTATCGATTGTCTACACTGTATAGTTGTAAAATATGCTGTTATTTGCACTAATTTAATGCTTACTGTTGACCTTGTAGACATGAATATTCATAGGAAAAAATTTAAATAAACATAAAAGCTAGTGCAAGTAGGAATTTTAATTGTGATGCCTCTTTATAATAAGAAGACTCAGCATTATAAATCTCTATGAATTCAATTACATTTTGAGTTGGGTTTAAGGACTGCATTTGATTTAAGAAATTGAGTTTGGGATCAGGGAAAGATTAGGAAGGTGGGGGGAGAGAAGATACGTAAATCATTGGGATACCCATGTCTCAATTTCATAAGCAGTTTGCCAACATCTGTCTCAAACTCGCAAATAATTCAAGTGTCAGCTGATGGCCTTATTATACCAAATACTTCCATAGATATAGCAGTATAATCATATGTTTGTGTAGTCAGGTTGCTGTGTATTATGAATGCTAGTTGAAATTCATAATTGGTAGCTTTTGCAGGTAGGCATGTCAACAGCACTGGTACTACAGTACTGCTGTACTGACGATTTTAAATTTTTTAAAACAGTGAGCATTTTTTGGGATCCAAATTAGATTTTTTATTGACTGTTATATGTCAGTTTTTTATATATTCCTCAGTGGCACCTTTCAAATGTATAAATTTCTTATTTTTAATGTGCTTTGAATTAACTGTAAATACATTAAATCTATTTTTGTACAATTAATGCTTTGGTTTCTTGGAAAAGCACTTAAGAAATCCAAATAAATAAGTAAATAAAGGCATTATATAGATAATCCTGTTTAAAGTAAGGGATGTAAGAGAAATGTGGTACCGATTTTGAATTATCTTTAGTATTGTTGTCTCTGTTTCATTGTCCTTGTTGCCATTAATGATGAATAAGTCATCAATCAGAGCAATATGTCAGCAAATGGTGATAGCAGTTGCTATGGAAATAATGATAATTTAACAATAGATTATTATTTAGGCTTGCTACTATTAATACTATTATTATTGTCTCCTTGTATTTTACATTATGGTATAGTATGCCATGTCGTGTTGGATTGATCACCCACATTAAATGCGGTTTAAATAAAAATAAATGAATATTTAAAACCTTGATTTTTAGATAGAATTTTGTTTTATTATCAAAAATGTTATTAAATTACTTGATGATAAAGATATTTGTTATTACTTTCAATCAAATTTGATTATGATTTTACCTATTTTTATGGATAAATTAGAAGTTTTTATTTTCTTACATTATAAGTAGGCCTAAAAAATTTGCACATACAAACACTTTTAATTGGTCTAATTAATGAAATTTTGTTTCTCATTCACCTTTTCTAACTTTCATGAGGCAAAACAATTAAAATATCCTAATGATCTAAATATACTCATAAGTGATGAGTAGGTCTTTTTGTTGGTGTGTATTCCTAGACTAGAAAAACAAAACTGCTTAAAAATGTGTTGACTGAATAGTACAGACATGCACATAAAAAATAAGTTTTCATTTGCATCTATATTAAGAAAAGAAATGCATCTCACTTTTCATAGCCAATCAAGCATATCCCTTTTAAGTTTTTTGAAGCTATTTAGCAGCTGGAAATAAGATCCCTTATACAATTATTGCAGAAATTTATTGAAGTTCTGCTTGGAAATAATCGTCTTACAATCGATAATAGAAGTAGAATTTGAAAGATAAAAAATATCTTTGGGGGAGAAAGAATACGCTGAAATGAGCACAATGTCTAGTAAGATAAATTCAGTACTCACATTAAAATATACAGATGAAAATAAAAGTATTAAACAATCAAATGCAGTAAAATACAAAATTACAATAAAGTGTCAAACATTAAGATATCAAACAACAGCCATTAAAACATTGCACAGTCAATAAAGCACGAAATATCAGTTAAAAAAAAGGGGATAAACTAAGACTTATTTAGTGTCTAGTTATTTTGCTGCTAGAATATGGTATTATTATTAAGCCACACGTGTTGTTAATGATCTGGAACAACTGTATCTTATAGTTGCATAACGCATTGTATGACCTGGAGGAGTTGGTAACAGCCTTTCGATTATAGAGAATTTTGGGGAAGTGCAATTGAGGCTTGCCACCTCAAAATCGGCATACCGTCGCTATTAAAATGAATAATTAACATATAATGTTTCAGTATTGTATACTTTAGTACAGCAAAGCCGTAATACTTTTGATCAAAACTCTGGTAATAGTAAATTGATTCCATTAAATGACTTATCATATTAAAGCTTATATAATATGGAGAATAATAATAATAATAATACAGTAGATGTATTTATATAGCGCATATAAACAAGGTCTCTATGCGCTCAGGACTAGATGTTGCAATTTTCAATAACTTTCTCCTCCCCTGAGGGTCACTTCATGTCCTCTGCAGCCAGTAAACCGGCGCAATTTCATCTGTCCACGAAAGGGCCGAGTGAACCAGTACACTGGGGTAACCCCCTGCTCATCTCGAAAGAATATTAAAATGTGGACTTTTTCTCGAGATGAAGCCCATCCCAAATTGAAGCCCTCCCCTTTTTTAGTTTGCAAAATTAGCTTTGAAAAGAAGCCCATCTCAAAAAAGAGCCTATGGGCTTCTTTTCAAGATAGCATAGGCTTCTTTTCGAGATATTACAGTCACATACACTGTACATCAATTTCAGAAAACAAAATAAATTATTTATACAGTTGTAATGGTTTATACAGTAGTTTAGGTGATTTAATGCCATTTAAGTACACTCCATGCCATACAGATTGGTGTTACGGTGGCCTTATTTATTGTTTTATAGTACAAATTCACAAAATTTACAGCATTCATTTGAAAAGAAGCCCCCCCCCCACCTCTTTACTTTGCAAAAGTAGTCTTGAAAAAAGAAGCCCATCTTAAAAAGAAGCCCATCTCGAAAAGAAGCCCATCCTAAGTTTTCAAAGAAAAAAGAAGCCCAGGCTTCAATTTGAGGTTTTACGGTATATGGAATGCCTGTTTTGTTTCTTGAAACCTACTAATGCTGTATAGTATCTTTGCTTGTGCCTTTATGAATCATACTTTTCTCATCCTTAATATGTGACACTTAAATGTGGGTCCTTTTAAGTTACATGATGGTTCTGTGTAATGGTTCAGTATAAAGTATTTTACAAAATGCCAGGGATTATCAAATACATCACTAACCTTATAGGGTGTGGTCTCGAACTTCAAACACACTGCCAGCCAGTCTTGTTGAATATTTAACCAGAGTGAATTGATTCAACAGAGCATATTTACCTTTGGTGATCACCTTGTGATCTTGCTTTAGGAGCGGAAACAAAAAAAAATCTCGGTATTAATTTTGACAACAGAATTACAACCAAGATGATGGCATAAGGAGAGCACCATCAGCATTGGTTGTGATACAGGTTCTTGAGGTTGGGGGTCAAATCCCATGTTGTTCAACTTCTACCCTTTAGGCAAGGCACTTAATGCTTAATTCCTTCGACCTAGGAGAATAAATGAGTACCTTTTAGATGAGATACTGTCAATGATATGAAATATTGGTCTGGTGTTCAATTAACTGCGTGACTAGAACTATTTGTCAGAGACCTGCTACACTGATGCATACTGTAGCTGTTTTTGTATACGATTACCAAGCATTATAATTGCATCAGATATTGATAAATATCAGTGCTGCAAAATGTTATTTAATATTACAAAATTTTACGTTTTTAGATATTTAT